GCCTCCCCCCGCAAACTCCCTCTCAAACTCCCCTGTTAGCCGCCCTGTTTGCTGCCTCCGGTGCCGCTACAAATGTTTCCATAAATGGGCCACCCGGGGTCTTGGTCTTCTGGCCTACCACAGCACTTCTCCAAACTGCTCTCCACTCCAACACCAAACCACACTGTTTCAACTCCTTCAAACTGCTCTCTTTGAGGGGGTTACCTTACTGTTAGTGACATGCCTTTCACTGTCCCCATGAAACTGTCAGAGTTATGAACCTCTGAAAATTGTTGTTTGCACAGACTCAAACTTCTTAGGCCTGATCTACAGTAGGGGGGGGGGGGGGGTTGATCTAAGATATGCAACTTCAGCTATGAGAATAGCATAGCCGAAGTCAACGTATCTTAGGTCGACTTACCTCGCATCCTCACGGTGTGGGGTCGACTGCTGCCGCTCCCCCATCGACTCCACTTCCGCCTCTCGCTGTGGTGGAGTAAAGGAGTCGAAGGCAGACTGATCGGGGATCGATTTATCGTGTCTACACTAGACACGATAAATCGATCCCTGACAGATTGATCACTACCCGCCAATCTGGCAGGTAGTGTAGATGTACCCTTAGTTTGGCAGCTAAGGAGAAAGTAGCCTGGTTAGAATGCGAACCGATGAGGAAGTGGGCCTGAGTAGCGTAGTGGGGAGCCTGGGCTGTGGAGCCAGTGGAAGGCATAGGACTGGGATGTGGCGTTGAGGAGGGAGGAGACTAGGAGTAGGACAAAGAGAGTTCATGGGACATCCTGTAAAAGAGTCTTAACTACTGTACACGCCTGCTTCAGAATCGGAATGTTCAGGTTGCAAAGTCAAGGATTCTCAAAAGCTGGACCTGAAACCTAAGCTGGGCCCCTTTGTTCATATGCATTATGGTAAACTTGTTCCCCCCCGCCCCCTAAAACCCCTGCTTCTTTCAGGGCACAGAATGGATGACACTTTGTGAGCAGCTATATCTTATACTCATTTTATTCTTATTTAATGTGTGTGGCTCTATTGTCTTATTTACTGCACACCATTCAACATTTACTCTCAATACAGTATTTCATATGGGCACTCGTTGCTGTAGCATTTGAGTGCTTCACAAATGACGGTAGTCTGTGTCACCGATGGTGGTGCAATCTCTGCAAAGCAGTAAAATGAGTAGGTGGGAGTCAGTTTCAAGGTTGCTGTGCTGATCTTATAGGATCAAATTCACTATCAATTTTGTGTGCATGGCTCCAATGTGACTTTACTGGTGCACACTACCCAGGGTGAGGCTAAGCAAAAATTCCATATATCAGGGAATGGTACAAGCCTTGAACACAAGGTAAATCCAATGTACCTTTGGGTTACATAGATCAACCATTGACATTCAAAGAACACCTCAAGAAGCTGCAAAAGAAAGTGAAGTTCTGAAATTGTGTACACTAGAAAATGGCCAACACAAAATGGGGAGCTGACCTCAAAACACTCTGAGCAACCAGTCTTGCTCTCTGCTAATCAACTATGGAGTATAATTATGTCTTAGAGTGTTGCTCTTTTACTAGATGCTCTGTGGACTGTAGTATTTCTACATAGTTTTTCTGGAACTGCATATTAGAGGTTTGCTGGGGTCCTTAGCTTATGTCCAACACAAGGAATGTCTAAACCAATAAGCTACTACCCTTTTATACTGCCTCCATTCCTAAGCACTAGCATATATGTTTAATATAAAGGGGGGTTGAATTGCAGGTAGGATGAGAGTAGATGGGTCACAAGTGTCATTACCACTAAAAACCAAATCACACTATGGTGATGGTTTCACTTTTCACCCAAGCTATGCAATGGTTTAAGCTCGATTAGCAAACCCATGAATGAACCTCCTGTACTATGAGCAGAGCCCTACCAAACTCTGCATATCTGCAAGTGTCTGGGGAGTCAGACTAATTTTCTTATGATCAGTGGAAATGCCCAACGTGTTCCCCAAGACAGGCTCCTACTTTTGAATTTGCTTGTATTTCTTTGGTTTCAATTTCAGATTGGCACACAAACTTATCACAGACCATTTGTAACTGCACCAGTGTTAGAACTCACCAAGATATCTTCTGGCTATTACAGATATGTAAAGAGCATTCCATGGAATGACACTCTCAGCCTAAGATTCCCAAAACTAGTAAGGGAACACGAGCCAAAAACCATTAATTTGCCACACCCGTTGTCCTGCAGTAAAAGTGGTCTTTTCCCTGTCATTTGAATTTATTTCTATTGCCAAGATTTAGTGTAGAAAACCAGAATGAACATGTTCCAGTGTCAAGGATATTTTCTATTTGTGTTAATAGATAAGAATCCTTTAACTTAATTTAGTTTTTTATAGTACACAGAATTGAATACATTTTTATTTTTTACTAGAACTATGCATGTGTCCTTGCCCTCACCATCTTGCGCTCCCTCCCTTTCCATCCTCACCTCCCTGTGCTCCCTCCTCCTCCAGCCTTATCTCACTGTGCTCACTCACCTCCTTGCGCTCCCTCCCCTTCCATCGCCACCCCACGTCGTCCCTGCACTTCCATTCCCACCCAATCGCCCTGTGCTTCTTCCCTCCTCCCACTCACCTCCTTGTGCTCCTCCTCCTTCCATCCTCACCACATTGCTCACTCACCTCCGTAGGTTCCCTCCCTCCTCCCACTCATCTCCCTGTCTTCCCTCACCTCCCTGTTCTCCCTCCTCCCCACCTCACCTCTCTGCATTCCCACCTCACATATCAGAGGGGTAGCAGTGTTAGTCTATCCACAAAAACAATAAGGAGTCCGGTGGAACCGTAAAGACCTCTGTAGTGCTGCTGGCATATGCGCACTGTAACTCTCTCCCCCCTCTCCAATCAGGAGGAAAAAATCCGTCCCCCCGCCCTTCAGGGCGCCAAAGGCCTAAGTGGGCGCATGCGCACTCGTTTGGGCCACAGACAGAGAGTTTGGATTTGGTGTTAGCCGATTCGATAGAGCAACTCCTGTGGCCCGGCCGGGCGCTAGTACCGCCCCCTCCCCCACCCACGGCGATGGGCCGGGCTCGGCGGCGGTAGCCCTGGCCGCCTCGCGTGGGGTTGGGTGCCGTCGTTGCCGCGCGCGCCCCCAAGATGGCGTGTGTGCTGGAGACGCCGCTCCGCATGAGCGTCCTCTCGGTGAGTGCCCGGCCCTTCCCCCGCGGGGCCCTGGAGCCCGCTCGGCGGCTTGTCCTGCGCGGTGTCATGTAGGAGGGGGAAACCCGACGGAGCCCCAGTAGGGACGCGGGCCGCCGGGGGCTCTGGCCCCCCCTGCCCTTCCCCCCGGGTGCCGGGGGCCCTGGCTCCCTTACTGAGGTCAGCGTGGATCTGCCCCAGGCGAGCAGCGTTAGGTGCTGTCAGGCGCGGACGTTCCCCCAGACTTGCCCTGTTGGGCCCGCGGCCAGGGGCTTGGCTGTGCCTGCCATCATGGCCTGTGCCTGTCAGTGCAGAGATAGGAAGTTCCCCCCTAGTGTGAGTGTGACCGCCAGTGCCCGACGCCTGTGCGTCCCCAGGGAGGGGGAGAGAGACTCGGGAGAAACCACAGGGGCCCAGGGTGGGTAGAGAGAGCCATCTCAGTTCGCTTTCTCGTTCCTCCCAACTCTTCGTCTACTACCGAGGACGGCGGGCCCCAAGCAAGATAAGACACCCCCTTGTGGAGCTGGGGAGGATCTAGGAGGGACGCACTGAAGGGAAAAGAGCTGGGAAAGAGATGATAGTGTGGGTGGGGAAGCACATATGAGACATGAGGAAGAGGTGAAAAAGGATAGAGGAGAAAAGGGATATAGGAAATAGATAAAACTAGACAAATTGGAAAATAGCATGAAAGAGGGAGAGAATGTGTCTATTGGAAAAAAAGGAATAAAGAAACGAAAATGGTGCCTCTACGAAGACAGAAAACTTATAACTTAGTGATCTTTTGTGTATGTATCTGTATTTTATTGTGTAGCTAATAGATGCCCAATAGCAAGATGTGAGGAAAGATGTAAGAACCAAAACAGTATTTGTATACTAAAACTTTGTGTTGGATACTCTAATTTAAAAAAATCAATGTCTTGGATGTTAAATATTCAGGATTCTCTGGTTCTTTTTGTTGCGATATATTCAATTCTCAATGGTTCTTTTTCTTTTCTTTTTTTTCTTTTTCCCTTTTTCAGAAAGTACTCATTTTACCTTCCTCTACCTGTATTGGTGTTGAGTCTACATACTCTCACTATAAACTTCGCACCATATATAGGGATACAGGGTCCTTGCTTATGAAAACTGCTGTCAGTTCAGGGCTTTTGAAGTTCCCTTGCCCATTCATCACTGGCAAGTGGTAATTTTGTCTTGGTCACTGAAGACTGCTCTTTGTAGTACTTCTGATGGCCATGTTGCTGCTGTCTTGTGAAGAGGCTCATCCACTGCTGCTGTGCTGACATGGTGTAGAAAACATGTTGCCCGCGCTCTACAGCACTAGAGTTTTAGACTGGAAAAAACAGGAATCCTAGCATGAAAGCATTTCCTCTTCCTGTTGGCCTGAAGGGAGGAGATAACAGACAGAGTACCCATGGTGGTTGCACTCTAGTGCCACCCACCATTGCACTGAGGAAAAAGTGGGAGATTGTGATTAGAAAAAAAGGAAAGTGTGTCGTTGTGTTTCTTTGATTTTGATATAATTGGCAGTGTTTTTATTTAAATGGCAAAATAAAGGAATACATTGCCCCTTCACCTCTGGGTAACAGTGTTTATTACTGAATGCAACTGTCCCATATCTTAAAATGAAAACATTGTGATCCAAAATCCTACTTGCCAGTCTGAAATGGGTACCTTAAAAGCTGAAGTATCACTGTCTTTAATTTTTATTATTAAGCTTTTCAGTAGCGTGAAGATAAGTGCTACTTGTGTTTGAATAGAATAGTGCCAAGGTTATACCCCAGTTACTACTTGTTTTTTGTATTACAATTTCTTTTCGCTACTCCTTACAAGATAGAAGGATATATATTTGAAATTGTGAGCAAATAAATTCTGGTAACAATAACTATGAAAAATCTGTGGAGGTTTGACAGACTGCTTCTTATGGATATTGGTGATGAGATGTTCTTCCCAGCAGTGAGTGAACAAGTTAACTTTTGTGTGGCAGGGTTAGTGCTAGTCAATAGGCTAAAGGACAGTCAAGATTAGAATCAGCACTTATTGGGAAGTCTTCATTTTGCATCTATACACAATTAGGGTTTGCTTTGGATATATTTCTGGTGGCAGTGAAAGTCCACTACTGAGCCCGTTCTACTCTCAAAAGCTTCATCCTTGGGACAGATAGCCAAATGCTCCTGTAGAATGTAGGTGGCATAATGAATCAGGGGGCCTTTAGGTTCTTCTTGTTTCTCCCAGATAGTCATGAGACAGTAGGGAGGAAGATAGTGGACATTCTTGAAATCCATCTGGATAAAGAGGAGTAAACTAAATCCAAGGGCAAATATTTCCCCACTCAAAAAGCATGATTGAACTTAGTTCCCTTTCATTCCTCAAGGAAGTCACTGGGGAGCAATGTGAGAAGCTCAATAAAGGGAATAGGCTCAGCTGGCAAACAATACCATTTTTCCAGGTTGGCATCCATTCTTCTAAACTGGATGCCTGTAGTTAGCTCTACATGTTAGTTTAGGAAAGCCTAAATAAGTCGTCAGAGTTTCAGGAGTGCCGAGTACCGGCAAATTCCATTAAAGTCAGCTGAATCTGTGGGTGCTCTTCACCTTTGAAAATTAGGCCACTTTTATTGTGGCCTGATGAATTCATTTTCTGGGAAGGTGAGAACAGTTTGCTGAGATCAAGGAAACACTTCGTTGTATGTCGTCGTGAGCTTGGAGTGGAAGCTTTCCCCCCCTTCTTCCCTTCTGCCACTGTTGATTTGGGATGCTAGTCACTTGCATGCACTTCCAACCTTGGACATATTAAGGGAAAATAACTAATCACTGGTGCATAAATATTTAGCGGATACATATGTTGTTTCTGGGATCAGAGTTTTAAATTAGTCTTGTGAGGAATGCAGTGTGTATTGTTACTGTATGTGATGGAGTGTGTTGGACTTATTTATAGAAAGGCAGACTCTGTCAATGAAAGTGGTGAATGTGATGTGTGAGGGTAAGGTGTATTAAAGAAGGATACCTTAACTAAGCACTCCCTTGTTTTTGGGGCTTATGTAGGTGGGTATTCCTCTTGAGCAACCTTAACTGTTTTATTAATTTTTTTCCTGTGTGGGGTTATAATACACTTCCACAGAAAAAGTTAACCAAGCAGTAATGTTCTGCAAGTGTTGCCTTTCCATTCAACCACAAAAAAGTGGTTAAATTGCAAATTAAGACAATCCTGACATCTAGACCAAACATGACTCGTATGCCTCAAACACAAACATTAGAATGCCCAAATGCCAACACAATGCCTGTACAACTCCCTTTCATTCCCAATGTATGAATACCAAAATATGCACATCCCATTCAAAATTGCACTCTCTCACACAGTGTTAACTCCCAAATTAGAAGTTGTTTGGTTGTAAATATTATGCATTTGAATGTGATCGTGCAGTTCTATCACAATCTTGTCTGGTAGGTTTTATAGAGTTTTGTGTCTCATTAGGCATTGCTGTTGATTTGGAATTTGCCAATGCATGGATTGATAAAGTATAAATTGTCTTTTTCTCCATAGGAAGTAACTGCTAGCAGTCGCCATTATGTTGACAGATTATTTGATCCTGATCCCCAGAAAGTCCTGCAAGGTGTCATGTAAGTAATGTGAACTTGAGTTTGAAGTTCTATCATTAGTAGTCTAGGTTTGCTTGAAACCCAGCAGCTTTGCACTTGAAGGGAAAGAAAGAGGTACCCTGCAAATTTCTACATGAATTTATTTTGGAAAGTATTACATGGATTGAATACAAACACACAATCACGTTTTAGTATATTATCACTTTGTAGTGCATACTGTTGGTAGCAGAGCCTCACAATCACCAGAAGAGTAGCACGTGCCCTCCTTTCAGGTCTGATTTGGAATTCTGTCCTTATTCCATCACGACAACAGATATGTCCAACCCCTGCTTCAACAGTCTTCACTTTCTAGTACGTATAGAACATTGTATTGACCTTCTGACTCAGCCTCAACACAGGGAAGCCCTCTCTCAACTTGCTCAGGCAGAATCTATTTTTTCTCTTCCTCTAGCCTAGCATCAGTAGTAGTAGGGAGAAGGTGTTGATCGAAAGATTTTGAAGGAAAACTTTCAGGGTTTGTTGACTGGTGCTATAAGGTTGTTTCCTGTCTCTACTTGGGTCCACAAATTCTTCATCCCTCCACCTTTACACAGCAACACTGCGAAAAAGCCCTTGAGCTGCCCAGGACTGACTTCCTGTGACAGGCTGTCTCCTTGCCTTTCAACTGTCTCTTCCTGGATGATGTTAACTAGGTTTACTAGAAGATATGAAAGGACCAGGTATTCAGAGGGCCAGGAGACATATAAGGGATGGGGGGATGTCTCATACTGCCCGTGGACAGCTTGTTTTTCCATGTGTCCCAGAGTGTGTCTTGGCGCTAATGTCTGGCCCCTCTGTGGATTACTGGTTTGAAAGTCCACAAACACACTACAACACTGCCTCTTGAGTCAGTCTGCTCTTATAGAACTAGAAACACCTCAGGCTCCCATCTGGCTCTTAAGCCTCAAGTTGTTCTCTGTTTAAACAGCATCTCTGACTTGGATCAAGACACCCTTCCCTACCCCAAATCATGAAGTGTAAATGTTACAGATTCTTTGTCCTCACTCAGTATAGAAAAATTAGACTCCATCTCCACTCTCCTTTTCCCCACGCTTGCTTTTTGAGCAGGCCAAGGTCCACAGTCTCACTGATGGTTCCTTCCCAAGCCCATCTCATTTTCTAGCCAAGTTTGGCCATAAGTCTCTAAGGAGAAATTGTCTAAAAAGAAGCAAAAATTGCAGTCAGCCTCTTCAGATAACTCAACTAATCATCGAAAGCATTTCCCTAGATCAGAGGGATCAGACTCATTCTGTGGTGAGGACTTCATTTCCTTTTCACTCAGGCTGTGGGCTGGGAATAAAATTCACCGGCAAGAAGTGAATCTTACAATCTAGTCTGACTGCAGAATGTGCTCTTCAGTTAGTGAAGTTAAATATTGCATTAAAGACAATTTAAATAAATGCATTTTGTTTCCTCCCTTTTTGTCAAATTAGCTCTTTGTTCCCACTGTAGACAGTTCTCCCCACACCCCTACCCCTTCTATCCACTTTTCTTGTCTCAATCCTATGTTCTGGACACTGCATCCTGCCTCTTTCTCACTGCACTCCTCCCCATGGTACTTATATGCACTCCTTTCTCACTCACCCTTCCCCTTTGGGGACCACCTGGGGTCTCACCTCTTGCTTTCGCCCACCTTTTGGGCACTAGTGCTGTGGGGTGCAGCAGGGGACAGTTCTCCCCTGAACTGTTTGCTTCAAACAGCCAGTTCTTCTGAGCCTGTTGCTGTGGGCCTTGGCAGCAACATGTGAGGGAGAAGCTTCAAGGAAGAGACTGCCTTGAAATTAGAGCAGTAGCCTCCGGGTGGTGGAGGCAGCCAATACTTTTAAAATTTTTAAATCCGTAGGTCCAGGTAACTTGTATCCAAGAGGTTTTTAAAAGAGATGGTTGAAGATCTTGCTTGAGAATTGATGTTCATTTTCAAAAGGTCTTGGAATACTGGAAAAGTTCCAGAAGACTGGAAGAAAGCTAATTTGCCAATATTTTAAGAGTAAACGGGATGACCTGTGTAATTATAGGCCTGTCAGTCTGACATCAACCCCAAACAAGATAATGGAGCAGCTGATGTGGGATGAATAAAGACTAAAGGGAGGGTAATATAGTTAATGCCAATCAACGTGGGTTTATGGACAATAAATCCTGTTAAACTAACTTGATATCTCTTAAAAAGCAACAGAGGGTCCTGTGGCACCTTTGAGACTAACAGAAGTATTGGGAGCATAAGCTTTCGTGGGTAAGAACCTCACTGCTTGCAATCTGAAGAAGTGAGGTTCTTACCCATGAAGCTTATGCTCCCAATACTTCTGTTAGTCTCAAAGGTGCCACAGGACCCTCTGTTGCTTTTTACAGATTCAGACTAACACGGCTACCCCTCTGATACTTGATATCTCTTGTTGATAAGATAAGTTTGATTGAGAAGGGTAACATGTTGATGTAATATACTTACCTCTGGAGCATAGACCAGCCCTAAGTCGATGTAAGGCAGCTTACATTGACCTAACTCTGTAGGTGTCTACACTACAATGGTGCTCCCGCTGATGTAAGTCGCCCACTACATCTACCTAGTAACTCCACTTCCCTCTCCCCCCCCCAATCCCTTACCAGGAGGCTGTCAGTCAGGGTTCTTCTCTGCCCCCAGTCCCTCACTGGGAGGCTGTCGGGCTCTCCTTCCCCTCCCTCCTTCAAATCCCTCACTGGGAGGTGACAGCAGGGTTCCTGACTGGCAGCCCCAGAAGCGGGGCTAGTGCTCTGGGCTGTGAGGGTCTGTCAGCGCCCCACAATGCCTCTCTTCAGTTGGTGGAAGAGCTCCTGGTGAGGACCCGCACTGCCAACAGAAGGAGCCACTGTGGACATGGAAAGCTGCTGTAATTACTGTGATGGCTATATGTCGACTTGTCTTAATTTTGATGTGTAGACAGGGCCTTAGACTTCTGTGAGGCATTTGACTTGGTACCGCACAACATGTTAATTAAAAAAAGAACGATATCTAATTAACATGGCACATATTAAATGGATTAAAAACTGGCTAACTGATAGGTCTCTAAATATAATTGTAAACAGGGAATCATCATGGAGTGGGTGTTTTTACTAGGTTCCCACAGAGTTTTTGACCCTATACTATTAAACATTTTTATTAATGACCTGGAAGAAAACCTAAAATTATCATTGATAGTTTGCAGGCGACACAACAAATGGGGGAGTGGTAAATAATAAAGAGGATAGGTCATTGATACAGGGTGATCTGGATTGCTTGGTAAGCAGGCGCAAGCAAACATTATGCTTTTTAATATGGTTAAATGTAAACATATACATTTAGGAACAAAGAATGTAGGCTACTCTTACAGAATGGGAGACTTTATCCTGGGAAACAGCAACAGAGGGTCCTGTGGCACCTTTAAGACTAACAGAAGTATTGGAGCATAAGCTTTCGTGGGTGAATGCCCACTTCATCAGACGCAAGTAAGGGAAATTTCCAGAGGCAGGTATAAATCAATATGGAGATAACGAGGTTAGTTCAATCAGGGAGGGTGAGGTGCTCTGCTAGCAGTTGAGGTGTGAACACCAAGGGAGGAGAAACTGCTTCGAGGTTTGTTGCATGGGTTGGTTCCTGAGTTAGAGTTGTTATGGTGCGGTGCGTGGTTGCTGGTGAGAATATGCTTAAGGTTGGTGGGTTGTCCGTGGGCGAGGACTGGCCTGCCTCCCAAGGTCTGTTAAAGTGAGGGATCATTATCCAGGATGGGTTGTAGATCACTGATGATGCATTGAAGAGGTTTAAGCTGAGGACTGTAGGTGATGGCCAGTGGAGTTCTGTTGGTTTCTTTTTTGGGCCTGTCTTGTAGCAGGAGGCTTCTGGGTACACATCTGGCTCTGTAGATTTGTTTCTTTATTTCCTTGTGGGGGTATCGTAGTTTTGAGAATGCTTGGTGAAGATCTTGTAGGTGTTGGTCTCTGTCTGAGGGGTTGGAGCAGATGTGGTTGTATCTCAGCGCTTGGCTGTAGACGATGGATCGTGTGGTGTGTCCGGGGTGGAAGCTGGAGGCATGAAGGTAGGCGTAGCGGTCGGTGGGTTTTCGGTATAGGGTGGTGTTAACGTGGCCATCGCTTATTTGTACTGTAGTGTCTAGGAAGTGGACCTCCTGTGTAGATTGGTCCAGGCTGAGGTTGATGGTGTGGTGGAAGCTGTTGAAATCATGGTGGAATTCTTCCAGGGTCTCTTTCCCATGGGTCCAGATGATGAAGATGTCATCAATGTAGCATAGGTAGAGAAGGGGCGTGAGTGGACGAGAGCTGAGGAAACGTTGTTCCAGGTCAGCCATAAAAATGTTGGCATATTGTGGGGCCAGGCGGGTGCCCATGGCGGTGCCACTGGTCTGGAGGTATATATTGTCACCAAATTTGAAATAATTGTGCGTGAGGATAAAGTCACAGAGCTCAGCAACAAGTTGTGCTGTGTCATCATCAGGGATACTGTTCCTGACAGCTTGTATTCCATCG